TAATGGCGCTAGAAGGAGGGCCGGTCCGAATGGCAAACGATCAACAGGTTCACCCCGACGAACCCCCGGCCATCCGGTCGCATGCGACCGACGCAGTGGAAGAGCATCCCCAACAGGGAGGGGTCCGGGACGAGCGCCCCGCTGCGATCTCGGAGCGCTACTGGCGATTGTTCAACGACCCGGGTCTGTCGCCGCCCGTCGCCAATCCCAGCGGCCCGTCACCCGTACCACCCGAAGCCTTCCACGATCTCACGCACCAGGTCCGGGCTCTTGCGGGAGTGATGCAGACCATCATCCCGCTCGTCTCTCCCCCGACGTCTTCACACTCAACCTTACCTCCTCCACGGCAACGGTCCGCCGCCCAAAATCCCGCACCGCTCCCCGAGTCTCCCGCTTCGCCTCTAGGCCGATCGGTTCAGCTCGGGAGCCGAGGAGCGGAGGATCCAACGGCGCACCCGACACCCGTGGCCCCACCTTCAGACTCGGCGGAGGGCCTGTGGGCCCAGCTACGCCTGGTGGGCCGCCGGCTGGACGAGGTGCAACGTGAGGTTCGCCAGGCCAGGGGAGACCCGGGGGCCGAACAACACCAGGGGCCCCCCTTCACCCCCGAAATTCAAGAGCAAGCAATCCCGCCGCATTTTCGGCTCCCGTCATTAGATGCCTATGACGGTGCCACCGATCCGGCGGACCACGTGGCTGCTTTTCGCGCCCAAATGGCGTTATACGGGACGTCCGACGCCCTGATGTGCCGGGCGTTCCCGACAACCTTGCGGGGCCAGGCTCGGGCATGGTACAGCAATCTGAAGACCGCAACCATCGCCTCTTTCGACCAGCTGGCTAGGGACTTCGAGCTTAACTTCCTGGCTCATGCCAAGCCAAAGCCGTCGGTGGCGATGCTCCTCGGGCTCAACCAGACGGAGGATGAGCCCCTTTCTCACTTTGTGAACCGCTTCACCACACAAATCCGCGGACTGTCCGATGCTCACCCTTCTTTGATGATGCAGGCATTCATGATGGGCCTGCGCTCCACCCGATTCTTCTGGTCTCTGGTGGAGCGACCCCCCGCCTCGGTTCCCGAAATGTTGCAGCGTGCGAACCAGCACATCGCTGCCGAGGCATGGATGGTCGGGAAGCGCGACGAGCGCAGGAGGGTCAAGCCAGAGCAGTCCCAACAACAACAGCCCGCTACCTCCCGATGCAGGGCCGGCGGCCTCAACGACACGGTACCTAGGTCCCCTCCCCCGGGCCTGAACTCCTCTCGGACCGAGATATTTCTCCATATCAAGGAGAAAGGCCTTCTCAAAGACCCCTACCCGATGAGGAGCCCGCGCGAACTCGCGGACCGCTCTAAATACTGCCGTTTCCACCGGTAGCCCGGTCACGACACCGAGGAGTGTCGAGAATTAAAAAGGCAAATTGAGGAGCTCATCCGTCGAGGACACCTCGGCTCATACCTCCGACCAGATAAGGAGCTCTCGCCACGCCCGGAGGGCCCCATCGAGCGGCACATAGACGTCATAACCGGCGGGCCAGCCTCCGGAGGGAGTTCCATGGCAGGTGGAAAGGCATACGCTAGGGCCTCCCGGGCTGAAGCTTTCAAACATGAAAAGGGTCCCGAAGTCACCTTCCCAACCGGGGAACCTGAACCAACCGAACATGATGACGCGTTGGTAATATCAGCCAGAATTGCCAACGCGCAAGTGAGAAGGATCATGGTCGACACTGGGAGTTCGGCCGATATACTATATTGGGACGCCTTCCAAAAGCTCGGCCTGGTAAAGGAGAACATGAAGCCGGTGAGCTCAACACTCACGGGGTTCACCGGCGCCTCGATCTCGTCACTAGGGATCATCACCCTGCCCCTGACTCTGGGAGCCTTCCCGAAGGCAAAAACTGTGATGGCCTCTTTTTTGGTGGTCGACCTCCCCACGGCATACAACGCCATCCTAGGACGGCCAACCCTCAACAAGACCCGAGCCGTCATCTCGACGTATTATCAAACCATCAAGTTCCCGACCCACGAGGGGGTCGGGGAAGTGGCGGGAAACTCCTGGGAGTCTAGGCGCTGCTATTTGACCGCCGTGTCATTAAACAAGAGAGCAAGGATCCAATCCCCACTGGAGGACCCCCGGGAGGGAAAAGAAACCACCCCCCGCCCCGAGCCAAAGGAATCTACCATCGACTTGCCACTGGTAGAAGGAAGGCCCGACCGAACAGTCAAAATCGGGTCGGGACTGCCCGAACAAGAACAACGACAGCTCGTCGGCCTTCTGCAGGCCAACGCCGACATCTTCGCTTGGACGCCGGCTAACCTAGCGGGAATCCATCCAGAGGTCGCGCTGCACCACCTGAACATCTCGTCCGACGCCCGCCCGGTGAAACAAAGGCCCAGGCGGCAGGCCCCGGATCGACAGCTGGCCATCCGAGAAGAAGTAAACCGGCTTCTGGCGGCCGGTTTCATTGAAGAAGCAAGATACCCACGGTGGCTCTCCAATGTAGTCCTTGTCAAAAAACCTAATGGAAGCTGGCGGATGTGCGTTGACTACACCAGTCTCAACAATGCTTGTCCAAAAGATTGCTACCCCCTGCCGAAGATCGACCAGCTGGTCGACGCCACGGCCGGCCACGCCCGACTCTCGTTCATGGACGCCTTCTCCGGGTACAACCAGATCAGGATGGCACCCGAAGACCAAGAGCATACAGCCTTCCTCACCGAGCAGGGGATATATTTTTACAAAGTTATGCCGTTCGGATTGAAAAATGCCGGGGCAACCTACCAGAGGACGGTGAATAAGATCTTCGCACACCAGATCGGACGAAACATGGAGGTATATGTCGACGACATGATCGTAAAGAGCCGAACGGCGGAAGCTCATCCCTCCGACCTGGCGGAAGCATTCGACACTCTGCGGAGGTTCGGCTTGCGCCTCAACCCCGCCAAGTGCGCCTTCGGCGTGACCTCGGGAAAATTCCTCGGATTCATCATACACGAGAGAGGGATTGACGCCAACCCAGAAAAGATACAGGCCATCATCGACATGCAGCACCCTCGGACGATCAGAGACCTGCAGCGCCTTAACGGGAGGCTAGTCGCTTTGTCGCGTTTCCTCTCCCGATCGGGAGATCGCTGCCACTCCTTTTTCCAGGCCCTGAAAGACCCGAAGAACTTCCGATGGACGGCGGAATGCGAGAAGGCATTCGAGCAGATGAAGCTACACCTGGCCAGCCTCCCGCGACTCGCTCCGGTCTCCCCGGGGGAGAAGTTGAGTCTCTACCTTGCCGTCTCCCAGCACGCGGTCAGTTCGGTTCTAGTCAAAGAAATGTCCGGCGACCAACTGCCGGTCTACTACGTCAGCCACATGCTGAGCGGGCCGGAAGAACGCTATCCGCCGATCGAAAAGCTGGCGCTGGCACTCGTCCTGTCGGCACGGAAGCTCCGCCCCTACTTCCAGGCCCACCCGATAGAGGTAATAACTGATCAGCCGCTTCGGCTTGTTCTATCCAAATTCGACGTTGCAGGGCGTCTCCTCAAATGGGCAGTGGAGCTCGGCGAGCACGACATACAGTACATACCTCGGACCGCCATCAAAGCCCAGTCCGTGGCAGACTTCATCGCGGAGCTAACCCCGAATACAGGCGAAGAACTCAAGCCGTCGCGTGACACGTGGACCCTCCACGTAGATGGCTCGGCCAACGCAAAAGGCGCCGGCGCGGGGCTGGTACTGGTAACACCTGACGGCCGCTCGATTGAGCGCTCCTTCCACTTCGGGTTCAGAGCCACCAACAACGAGGCCGAATACGAGGCCCTCCTGGCGGGGCTCCAGTTGGCACTGGAAATGCGGGTGGCTGACATACGCGTCACCACCGACTCGCAGCTGGTGGCTAGGCAGTTGGGCGGCGAATACGAGGCTCGGGACCCGACTATGGCGAAATACCTAGCACAGGTAAAAGGCCTTGCCGCCAAGTTCGCCCATTTTGAATTGTTGAATGTTCCCAGGCGCGAGAACCAGCGAGCCGACACCCTGGCTAAACTGGCGTCCGGCCCAGCCCCCTGGGCTCGGCCCGAGACCGAAGAACTCCCCCGCCGAGCCATAGAGGTCGTCGCCACCGTCGCCCACGACGCGCCGGCAACTTGGATACAGGAGATGTTACGCTTCAAGCAGGACGGAACCCTGCCCGACGATGCAATCGCGGCTCGGCGCTTGCGTCGGACGCAAGCGTGGTACGCCGAGGAAGGAGGACGACTGTACAAGCGGTCCTTCTCGCGCCCCCTCTTGCGCTGCCTGGAGCCGGGCGAAGCCCGGACGGTTCTGTCCGACATGCATGAAGGGGCCTGCGGGGAGCACATAGGCGAACGAGCCCTGGCGCACAAGGTACTCCGACAGGGATACTACTGGCCGACCATGCGCCAGGACGCGAAAGCTTTCGTGCGGCGATGCGGCTCGTGCCAGGAGCACGCCCGCACCGCCCGGCGGCCGGCGGTCCTGTTCACCCCCGTCGACTGTGCCTGGCCATTCGCGCAGTGGGGGCTGGACATACTCGGGCCTCTCCCGCCCGCCTCCGGCCAGCGGAAGTTCATCATCGTGGGAGTGGACTACTTCACCAGATGGGTCGAAGCCGAGCCCCTAGCAACCATCACGGAGTCGCAAGTAGAAAGATTCGTGTGGAGAAACCTCATAACTCGTTTCGGCCTGCCCCAGTCCATCGTCACCGACAATGGACCTCAGTTCGCCGGCAGGAAATTCCAAGAGTTTTGCGCCAGGCACAAAATTCAGCTGAGGTTCAGCTCGGTGGCTTACCCCCAGGCGAATGGGCTGGCTGAAGTAACCAACCGGTCCATCGTCGACGGACTCAAGAGAAGGGTATCCGCTACCCGATCGGCTTGGATCGACGAGCTCCCGAGCGTCCTGTGGGCGCTTCGCACTACCCCCAAGACCCCGACCGGGGAGTCTCCCTATAGCCTCACGTTCGGGACCGAGGCCGTGTTACCATCCGAGGTGACCGTCCCGACTCCGCGGACGGCAGGCTACAGCGAAGAAGCCTCGGGCGAAGGGCTCCGATCAAACCTGGACCTGCTCGAAGAAAGACGGGCCAACGCTCACCAGAAAGCTCTTTCTTACAAAAGAGCAGTAGCGAGGGTCTACAACCGGAGCGTGCGACCCCGATCGATAAAGTTAGAGGACTTGGTCCTGCGCAAAACCGAGGTCAGCCACCCAACCCAAGTGAGGGGGAAATTGGCCCCAAAGTGGGAGGGACCCTATCGGGTCATCGGAGTATCCCGACCGGGAACGTTCCGACTCGCAACAATGGATGGCGACCCCGTACCCCGGACTTGGAACATACAAAACCTTAGGAAATATTTCGTCTAAAAGACGCAGGCACTACGCAAACACAGGAAATCGGGGAAAAAGATTATCTTATTAAAAAGGAGGGGATACAGAAGCCAAAACCCATACACGAAACCCTCACACCCTCGACTCCGACATACAAAAGCGACTCTCACTGCTCTCCCGGGGTCTTCGGGCGGTCGTCGAACGGCACGTCTTCCGGCATGTCCACCTCCAGGTCCACGGGGTGAGAGGCGAACGGATCCCTTTCCACCTCGGAGCCGGGAGGACACGAGCCGAAGCGACCCAAGGCGATTCTGTATCCGTACTCGTAGGATACTCGCCCCATTCGGGTCAGTCCGAGCTCAAAATTCTCGGACTTCTTGTAGGCTTCGATCGCCTCTTTGTCCTTTGACGGACGGAGGCGAACCTCTTCAGCCAGCGCCTCGGAAGCTGCGCGGGCTTCGGCCTCAGCCTTCTCCGCCCTCTTGGAGAGACTGAGCACCTCTGACTTCGACTGGCGGAGCTCGGCCCGATCCAAACGGAGGAACTCCTGGAGCTCCTTGACCGAATCGACCGCCCGCTCGAGCTCCGCTCGTAGGCGCGCCACCTCTCCCTCGGAATCGGTCGCGCGCTTTTCCGCAGCCGCCACCGCCTCGGGGCCCGACCCAGCCCGGATTTCCTCCAGCTGACGACACAGCTCGGAATTGCGCTCGCTGAAGTCCCAGATTATCTGGCCAGCGTCGCGCACTCGGTCCATCAACGCCGTCGAATAATGGAGGCCCTGCCACAAGAAGATAAAAGTCAGCGCATAGTCGCAGCGATGCCCAGAGTTAGCAAAATGCTCACCAATGTCAGAAACCTCCCCGCCTTGTTGAGCATGGTCTCCGAGGGCAGGGTGTACAGGTCCCGAGCCAGGTCGGGGTGGAGCACGCCTCGGAGAAAGGCGGCCGAGGGATCTCCCCCAGCCCATACCTTGTCCCCTCGGGACAGCCCCTTCCATCGGGCGACCAGCGGGTCGGAAGCCTCCCCTGTCGGAAGCTCGCCCATCACCGCTGCCCATAGGGGCTCGTCGGCCCCCGTGCGAAGCCCACACAGATCATCCACCGTGGGCAGGTCCGCCCTTTTCCCGGCCGCCCCCTGGCCAGGCCCTTCAAATCGGGAAGGCCCCTCGTCCCGAGTGGTCCGCTTGGCGCCCACGATTGTTGAAGGAGCGGCCCCCGACTTGGTTTTCCCAGGACCCGTCGTCCTCGCCTTCTTTGACGGACGCCCCTCGGGGATCTCCAATGGGGCACCCGCCGAACCGAGTAACGGGTCGGCTAAGGAACGCGGAGGGGAAGCAGCGGACTGGCGCGGGGAAGAAGCCGACGAAGAGCGACCGCCACGGAGTGACAGGAGCTTCATTCCTACAAAGGAGACAAACAAAACCATCACGAACTGTGGAAACAAATAAAACATACAAGACGCGAAAAACACCCGCTATGTTCATACCCCCGAAAGCCGGACTAAGACCCGCCTCGGCCAGCCACTCCTCGGTCATAACTCGGAGGGCCTGAGAGCCAGGAAGGACCGATCGAAAGCCACGCCTCGAATCCCCACCGTCCGATGCCGAGCCATGGCTTCCTTTGGGGGGGGGGGATA